ACCGATTTTTGATAATAAACGAATGCATTATATTCATCCTTTCAACTCGTTTGCTTTTTTATAACAATCTCTAAGATTTTTTTTTTTAAATAAATGTCTAATGCATATTTTTTCTCAATTCCAATTCCTATTTCGTAACAGTATCTAAGACTATTAATCTACTTTTTCACAGTATAAATTAATGCCTTCTGTTCATCCCTTTCAAACTCCAATAATGATGACTTGACTTATTCCATGAGACCTCCATCTTGCTTTGTTAAAAAGCAAATATTCATAAAATATAATAGCTTATTCGAAATACATTAAACAACGCTTTTTTATACCTACCTATTAATAAAGGAACTTTTTTTAATACTGCTTCCTTTTCATTCGCATAAGTGCTAAATTATTGGGACGTGGATATAACTTATTATTAGCCTACCGGACATAAGGAGTTTATTCGTAAAAAAAATATTCCAATATCAATATTGACCAATTAAAATGTATTCGCAATCACTGGAATTTAATCGGTGGAAAATAACATTAGCTGGACATTCAAATATCCGAACATATTACAGAATTACCATAATTACAAATTAGTCATTTGAAATAAAATAACGGTAATAAATTCGACTTTATTGTTTTATTGATTTTGGGAATCTGGTGAAACTAGCGTCATAGGCGAGGTGATTACGTTATTGATACACATTGCACCTAAATATATAGTGATTAACCACCGATCAAGGTTATACAAATACAATCGCTATTGTAATTAAAAATTATCCTTCACTATTATTAACCAAACAATATATACAAAAGAAAATTCACTTTTAATAATGATATGTAGTTAAAAGTAAAAATGTTTAATTCTGATATATATTAACACTGACCTGGCAATTGATTAATATTAGCCAATCAGACGAAAGTTCTTTTGGTAAAAGGATGTTCTATAGAATAGGTGGGAAGCATATTTCTTATATTGCCCGCCTATTCTATAGAATATCCTAAACGGAAGATGCGAAATGAAATAAAAAGTTATTCAATTGATATTAAAATTTCAGAGCATATGCAATTTATTATCCCGAACACCTTTATTTAAGGCATAAATATAAATTTATTTAGTAAAATCTTGATTTTGATATATAGTTTATAAAATTTAACGTTGCTTGGCGGCCAAGTCTGATTGGTTAAAAGGTATTAGAATATTAACTAACATATGTTAAATGACCTTCTAAAGTCATTTTGCCTTGAAATGACAAATGAATAGTCATCTGTCATTTGGGCCATTTGGGTGTCATTTACCATCCCTGCTCTCGTGACAGCTATCTGTTTTATTTTACTACTTCACGGGCCGGGCTACGGGACCCAATGCAGGCCCTTTACTGGCCAATCAGATGAAAATCCTTTTAATAGAATAGTCAAGTGATAATAAAAATTTTATTTGGATTAGGAGATCTGATTGGCCACGTACGCGTACGTGACAGCGATCGTTTTATTTATTTCAATATTTTGGCACGTAAATATTGTTAAGCTTCTTGTTATACTGTACTTACTACGATACGTTTTGTTAACTAGACCACTTTATAGAGCACTCGGACAGTGTTTATTAGGTAAGAAATATTTAGTTGGACCACTTTGAATTCCTGAATTCACAAGCAAAGTCAAATTACGTTTTTGTTATAAACTAACTTTTTCTTTATTATTAAATACTAGGATACGTTAATAGCTCTGACATCAATACCGCCTTATTAGTTATGTTCTTGTTGTTGCAGAAGGTATGTACATAGTTTTGTAGTTTAATAGTGTAATGTTAGAGGTTCGTCTGTGTTGGGAGTATAATTTCGGACAATGGTTAGATTTCTGAAGCTAAGCTTCTGCTAATAAGGTTTACTGGCTTGTAATCGAGAGTCGGTTAAATTTCCTTATAGCGGTCAAGGATCTTTAAGATTCTTACAGAATCGATCATTCTAAGAAATTATTCTTCACGCATTTGACGGTCTCTGTGGCTATGCGGAGAATAACTGAAGCCGTTTTTTTACCGACCTCTTTCATTACTTATTTACTGCTTGCATTGTATTTACTATAATTATGATGATAACTAACTCTTTTTTATTTTTTTTATTTTTTTTAGAAGCATATAGGTAATAATTAGATTATTGTTTAATTTTTATTGTAATGTTAATGATTAAAATTAATAAAAGTATTCGAGTTAATATTATAAGATTTTTAACAATACAATAATAAAATTATTTATTATGTCATGAACGTTTTATTTGAAATTTAGTTATCAAGATAGTTATAATTTTGTTTGCAAATGCTGTCGTCAAGACATAGTTATAATTTTATCTGGCTCTTTCGACATCGAATTTTGTTGTAAATGATATAATTATATACATAGAATATCCGAATATATTCATCGAATATTCGACGAATATAATTAAATGTAGACCAGATTAGTGATAGGAATCGACTAAATATTGGTCGACTAAGTCGACTAAAATCAACCAGTCAACTAAAAATCAACTAAAAGTAAGAATAACGATCATCCAAAATGATCCGAGATAGATTATAAACGAACACAAATTACGAGCTCGGTTGAATGAATTTCTTGAGAAATATCCGAGATAGATTCTAAACGAACACAAATTACGAGCTCGGTTGAAAGAATTTCTTGAGAAATATCCGAGATAGATTCTAAACGAACACAAATTACGAGCTTCGGTTGAACGAATTTCTTGAAATATTCCAAAATCATGTCCATAGTGGACTTATAATATCACTTAATATGCTCAGGACACCTAGAAGCATTCATGTGCAATATGAGCTCTAGTTTTAATAAATTTAGCACTAGATAGCTGCGTGACATTATCTCGCAAAACCAGGAACGGAGACCTAAAAAAAAAGATAATAGTTGTTATCAACTTGACTGCTAGATGAAATATAAGAATTGCGTCTGACCGATTACTTTACCCTTCAACTGATTACTTTTTCATCACTCAAATCAATTAATGTAGCATTTATTTACGCTGATTTTTATTATCGATATGAGATATATCCGTTAAGCAATAAACGATGATAAATAACGATTTCGGGGGTTTTTTTTTATCGAAATTAATGTCACTCCCATATACAACTATGAGTGACATTAACTCAAGTAAAGGAAATTTTCTGTAGTATAACTGTTATGTTATTTCTACCTCTACAGTGAATAGCTAAATTGATCTCCAAGGTCGCACAAAGTTAAGTTTCGGTCTGCATTACCCGCCGACCCAAATTTTCAAAAATTCGATTTTTTTTTTTTTACATTAACAATTTAAACAATAATATTTGATTCAAAAAAAAAAAAAAATTAATACTTATTTAATCAAAACATAAAGACATACAAAAATTACTCGAGTTTAATTCAGGGATGGTTCCCTTTATGAATCTGATTGGTTGAATCTACAAATTTCAGCATTATCCATCTCAGTATCATTACAGTCAAATAACGCTTTCATATTTTTAACCATTTTAAACAAGAAATCTAACACTAATGTCATTAACAATAAAAATCACAACGTTCACATTAAAATCTGTTGATGCAATTTTAGTATAGCCGCGTTTACGTGAAGATCGCACTAGGCTTTCAATAATAAGTAAAACGCCTAATACTACAATATATAGTTGAAAAAAGATCCGGAAAAATAATATGCAACAAAATTTTTTCGTATTTAAGAATAATTAATTTATTCTTCATTTTAAACGAATGATATAAATAGCAAGAACATATAATGTAAATTATTTGATTAACGAGTTAACGAAATCATCTCTTCTAAGCAGTTTCAGGTTAGCATTAAACCTAAAGGTTTACAAATTTAGCAATTA